ACACACACACACACACACACACACACACACACACACACACACACACATCAAACAAGTCTTTGAAAAATTTAAAGGGACTTCTGACCTCCAGAAATGTCAGAGAATAAATTTCTGTTGTATTAAGCCAATTCTGTAAAAATTAATACAATAGTTGATAGAAAAAAAATTGACATTTGTATTTAATGAAGGGCAAACTTGTTTTTATTTTTAAGTAAAGGCCTTGGCCTTATAGAGGGTGATTCATCTTTTCCTCAGGAATCCTGAAAAGACCTTTCTTGTATGCGTCAGAAGTGCGGTAAGCCAAAGATAGCACTGAGTTGTATGTTCCTAGATGCTAAGTTCCCTGTGACGTTCTGTCCCAGAGACATTGCCTTTTGAGAGACAGATGGGCTGGTGGATGAGAACACATGTTTACTTTTTGAGTTTACTTAAATTTCAACAGAAAGCCAAATAATAACACAGGAAAAATACGCTGTGAAAAATTGAGTATTACCTCCTTGGGAAAAGAAGAACAAGAAACAACACAATTTAGAGATGCTGCAGAGTTCCCATCCCTTGGGTCAGCCAGGTACCTCTATCCATGACTTGGTCTGGGTTCGGATCCTCTCCACTCCAGAAAGAGGGAATTTTCACTCTAAACTATAAGTATTTCAATAAAATCAAGAATGATGAGCCCAAAAAGTCAAAGACAGCCACGTGCAAAGAGGAAGCAAGATTCATATCCATGTTTACCCAGATTTTGAACATCTGTCACTGCCTATAAAGCAATTAGGGCTAAACACACCTCAACTTTGGTGCCACTCCCATTCATATGTTGATAGTCTCTAGAACATCATTATTTAAAGAGGACTTTGGAAGGTGACTGTGTTATGAAGAAAGAGCCCTCAGGAAGAAGATTATGACAAATGGGAGCTGAGAGAAAACACTTGCTCCTCCCACCGTGATGACAGAGCGAGAAGGTGGTGTCTGTGAACTAGGCTGTTGTCAGCTGTTGAATTTGCCAGAACCTTGCTCTTGGGTGTCCTAGCCTCCAGAAATGTGAAGGATATATTTCTGTTGTTTGTAAGCCATTTTATTTATGGCATTTTTGTTAAAGTACATCAAATGGACTAAGGAACATCAACAGGAAACAGGGAGCTAGAAACCATAAAGCTTATAAAACACAGAACTATAATTAAAATTGAAAACTAGGTGGAAAGTTTTAGTAATAGGTGGACACAGGCAACAATAGGTGGTGAACGAAAAGATGGGACAGAAAAAAAAAGAAGTCTAAAGAAAAACCTGGGTAATATATGTGAAACTTAAAAGTAGGAGGGTCAGCAAGAGGGCTCAGCGGTAGAGACACTTGCAGCCAAGTCTGATGATCTGAGTTTGATCCCCGGAACCCACATGATGGAAGGAGAGAGCTGACTTCCATAAATTGTCTTCTGATCTCCACACCCTTTCATACACACACACACACACACACACACACACACACACACACACACAC